CAAGAGCAGTAGATCAGTTCAATAACAGTGTTATAACAGTGAATCAGCTCAATACTGATGAATCAGTTCAATAACAGTGAATCAGTTCAATAACACTGACTTTGTTCAATAACAGTGAATCGGTTCAATAACAGTGAATCAGTTCAATAATGATAATTAAGTTCAATAATGATAATTAAGTTCAATAAGAATGAATTGGTTCAATAACACTGAATCGGTTCAATAACAGTGAATCAGTTCAATAACACTGAATCAGTTCAATAAAACAGAATTGGTTCAATAACACAGAATCGGTTCAATAACACCGAATCAGTTCAATAACAGTGTCAATGTTACAAAGTTAGTGTGTCGTGTTTAACTCAGTTTAATTTTGTTCTCATTATATACTTATATAGTTTTTCATTTTATATTTTCAGTTTTAATTTCAACTTTTAAACTCTTAATTTTAGATTTACTTCTAACTTTGTGCTTTTCATTGTTATTAAATTTGTTTTATTTGTTAATAAGTTTTATTTTCAGTTACTAATTTAACATTTCTAGCTTTCATTTAATTTAATATTTATATCAATTAAATTTTAGATGTAACATTTTCACAGTTTCATTCAAGTACATGAACTGTCAAAGAGACCGGCGACAGTTTCTGTAAATCTCATATTTCTTGCGTGTGTGTGTGTGTGAACAGGTGTCTGTGGATGTGTGTGTATGATCATTCGTTGAAAACGATCTACTAAAACTGAAGAAAACTGCGAGAGGAATGATCCTGACATCAGTGTCGCTGTAAAACACTCGCCGCTCTTCATTAGATGATCATCATCATCGTCATCATCATCCCTCTCGATTATATATTCATACTTTCCCATTTTGTCTTTTTAACACAAATAGTATCATTACTCTCTCTGACTGTCTCTCTCCCCCACAGGCAGATGTGTGTGTGTGTGTGTGTGTGTGTGTGTGTGTGTGTGTGTGTGTGTGTGTGTGTGTGTGTGTGTGTGTGTGTGTGTGAGTGTGACTGATGAGGGTAATTTCACCCCAACAGCCAAACCATCAGTTCACCACACACACACACACACACACATTCACTTACACTAACATACTCATCATACACACACACACACACATACATTCACTTACACTAACATACTCATCATACACACACACACACACATACATTCACTTACACTAACATACTCATCATACACACACACACACACATACATTCACTTACACTAACATACTCATCATACACACACACACACATACATTCACTTACACTAACATACTCATCATACACACGCACTGAATCCATACATAAACAATGATACAAACACACACACACACATTCATTTACACTAACACACACAGACACACACACACCGGATCCACACACAAACAGTGATCCACACACACGTTCACTAACACAAACGCACACACATTCACAAACACACACACACACACACACACACAATCATACACACACACACACACACACACATTCACTCACACTAACACATACACAATCATATACACGCACACACATTCGCTCACACACGCACACACACACACACACACATTCACTCACACTAACACAGTCTCACACACACACACACACACACTCTCTCGGTGTGTAAGTGGAGGCAGTGTGTCAGTGTGAGCGTCAGAGTTTCTCATATTTAAAAACAGATTTACGCCCAAACCAGAAGCAAATTGTTTTGCTGAGATGAGAAGCAGAAACGTGGAGTAATTGTTCATCAGTAATCGTGCGCATGGTTTCTGCTGTCGCTCATGAGTGTGTGTGTGTGTGTGTGTGATGATGATGTCCAGGCTGGTAAAGATGATTGTTTGTGTTCTTGAGGATCAAAATGACACACAATTGTTTCCGTGCAATTTCACAAAATCGACTCCATGAAAATCACTGAAATTTAAGTGATTTTAAAATAAAATATAATAATAAAAAAAAAAACTATTTTAGCCTGTCAGTATAAAATATGACTGTTTTTTGTTTTTTTTGTTTTTGTGACTGTGATACTCATAAAGAAAGGTAATGTTCCTCGGATGATTCAGAAGACGAGTCTTCAATAGTCAAATTAAAGTCTTCAGTGTTTTTAAGTCTTCTGCCGTTTCTCAAACCATCATGACACTCGATACAGAAGTACAGCCTTTCCAAAACATCTTTGTGTCGAAGATTTGCATGCATTCATGATCTGAAATTAAAAATATTTAGTATAAGAAATACAGTATATATTTTAACTAGGGCTGTGCAAAAGTTAATTGCGATTAATCGCATCCAAAATAAAAGTCTGTTTTACATAATATATTTGAGTGTGCTGTATATAATTATTTTGTATATATAAATACCTATGCATGCATGTATATATTTAAGAATTATTTGCGCTTAAATTCTGTATATATATAAATACATAATCAATATTATAATAATATAAATATTTTCTATAGGAATAACACATTTTCTTAAACATATACATGCATGTGTGTGTATTTATATATACAAAATAATTATATACAGCACACACAAATATACTATGTAAACACAGACTTTTATTTTGGATGCGATTAATCGCAATTAACTTTTGCACAGCCCTAATTTTAACCAGTTCAAATTGACTTCACTCTCTTTTATTACGCTCATCTTTTCTTCTCTATTGTGCCGCATATATATGTGAATCACTTCTGGAACAAGAATTGATTGGATAATTGTGGATCTTGTGTGAGTGACTGGTGCTGCTCGCAGCTGATTGGCTGCCAGGCTGGTGTGCTCGCAGCTGATTGGCTGGCAGGCTGTTTCTGGTTTCCTCTGAATCCTTCATGTTCATTAATGTTGTTTTTTTGAGGGCAATATCTGACTATTGAACAAGAATTTAAAGAAGCTCGTCTGATTTTCTTCGGCTGCGATCACTAATGGGATTTGCTTGTTGGATGTGAACAGCAGAAATCACACTGAATCCGATTTAGACGATACCATTTGTATATGAAGACAATTGAACATCGTAATTGTGTGCTGATGTGTAATGTGTTACACAGAAAGGTGTATATATTTATTTATAATATAAAAGTCGTCATGAAACGGGAGTTGCACTGGCCTTTGTTTCGTATATCAAGCATAACAAGAACAAATGTGGGCGGAGCTTGATTGTGTCCATGAGGAATTGATTGGATGGTTGTGGTTTGCTATTGGCTGATCTCATGTGATTGACAGGTTGCCCTGGATATTCTGATTCAAGATTAACCTGAATTTGCACAGATAAATAATTTCTAATAATTATGCCACCAAGAATGGTCCATTTCGATTTTTTTTACTGGAAGCGAGACAAAAACACTCGCTATGAGTCGATCTCTCATTAATCAAAGGAGCTTCAATGGAAGTGTTTTTTCTGAGATATCCTCTCGTTCCTCTGGAGAATGGTGTGTGTCTCGTGTGTGTGTCGTTCAGACACTCCATTGGTTCAGGCTGAGTGATCTGTCGTCTCTCATTCGCTCATCTGTCCTCCGGTGGGACCGGCCCGCAGAACCTCTGCTGATCGAGCGCTTAAGTGACAGCACACACACACACACACACACACACACACTCACAGATAACCGGAGGACTGACGTTCCTCACGGATCACTGACCCGGGGAAATATACGGACAGTCACGGGGACGGGAGGAGGAAAAACGTAATTGTTGATCAGCGGTCTCATTTATAAAAGTGTGTGTGTGTGTTGGATCCTCACTGAAAGTGCACGTGCGCCTTAGAGCCAAGAATGGAAAATTATAACAAATAAAGGCTTGAAATATCTCACTTTGCATGTAATGAGTCTATATAATATATTAGTTTCAGCTTTTAAGTTGAATTACTTTTGCACCATATTCTCATTTTTCAAATTTCGCCGATTTACAACGCCTATATGCAAATCCTCATCTGCATATCATTTGCATATGGATGTTCATTTACGTGATGCCATGTTTACACATTCGTAAAATATGAGAAGCGAATGTGCGTCACAGTACATTACTAAAAATCAATTATTAGCCTATTGTTTTTGAATAAATACACTGTAAAAAAAATATTGATGGTTTAACTTAAAAAAGTAAGTAACCTGGTTGCCTTAAAATTTTAAGTTGATTGAACTGGAAAAAGTGAGTTAATACAATGAAGTAGATTAATTTAACCATCAGAAACTCAAAATAATAAGTTATCTTAACTAAATAAATTATTATAAAGTTGATTTGACAAAAGAGAATATCTTGTGATAACAAATCTTGAAAATATTTTTTACAGTGTAAATCAAATATTTTAAGATGCATTTCAGAGAAAGTTTTTCTCAGTCTTTTCCACTGGCCAAATACTATTTTTAATTGCTTTACATGTTTTATGGAAACAGATAGGCCTAATTGTACATTATTTATCATTATTTGATCATTAACCTGTGGATCTCTGAGTGAGTGAGTGGAGGCGGGGCTCATTTGCATATTCACAGTTACTAAATGAAGCGAGGGAGTCGAGTTACATTCAAGATAGTTTAAAGCATGAAGCATTTTCAAAGAAAAACTTTTAAATATAAGTGATCATTTTAGTGATCAAAAATGAGTTTTAAGGGATACAATTATTGACTTCAGTGAACTTTAATAAATGTCTATTAATTGTTAGTTCATGTTACTTAACAAATGAGACCTTATTGTAAACTGTTGACAACCTATTTGATAGAGATTTGATCATTAACAGTAATATTGAGTTGCCTTAACAAACAATAGCTAATAATAGATGTGGCAAATTCATTAATAGCCTATTATATTCTCTAATACTTGTTTTTACTAATTATTTATTATTTATTAATTTAGCTGTTTATTAAACCGTGGCACAACTTGTTGATTGTTTATCGTCACAATATGTAAACTATGATATTACCCAGTGATATACAAGTTTTATAAGCATATGCATGTTTTTGGATGTCTGATATGCTCATACAATCAAAATCTTAAAGCATATTTCCGTGTTTTTCAGCGTTCCTGCATTGAAAGAGTAGATCCCGGCGCTTGCAACGGCAAAGTCACGGGTTCGATTCCCAGAACTGATCAAAATGAACGCCATGTGAGTCACTTCTGCAAAATGCATTATTGTGAATTATTCAAAGTGTGAGTGAAAAACACAGACGGAAATACATCAAGTTAAGCCTGTTTCAGATCACGGGTTAATTAAAAACGGATTAAATGCGGGGATAAAGAGGGAAGTAAAGGATAGATGTTGCCAAATAACTCATGTGTGCACAGGTGATAAAAACCCATTATACACTTTATTCCGGCCCAAGATTCCTCCTGTATGAAGCCCATTAACATCACATTATGCAAATGCTAATAGGCGAATGCATGTCGAGGGCAGAGGCCAATCGCAGCACACTTACAGTCTGACTTTCATCCGGCCTGTGAAGGATGTTTTCAATTAGATTGCGGATCATTTCATACACACTTTCATTCAGCGTCTGGAAATGCGTCTTTCGGAGCCCGAGTGGTTCATGTTCCAGAACTGTGGTTTAATTGTCAGCGTTATTCAAGTTTCTGCTCCGGACGTCCTTTAAACGGATCAGCTAAAGGAGATTTTATTAAAGGTACAGGATCATCTTTTATGAGTGATACTTTACATTAAACATAGTGAAACATGGTGGAATATACAGTATATATATATATATATATATATATATATATACTGTATATATAAAGAGTCAGGCAGATTTTTATTTTTAAAAGCCAGTTATTTCATGGATCCAGGATAATATGCATCTTGATAAATAAAATATCCCCACATCATCACACACCTTCACCACACCGAGAGATTGGCATGGGGTACTTCCCATAAGATCATCTTTCAATGCAAATCAAACCAGCTATTAGGCTAACTGAAGTAAAACCATGCCAATCTCTCGGTGTGGTGGAAGGTGTGTGATGATGATGTGGGGATATTTTATTTATCAGGATGCATATTATCCTGGATCCATGAAATAACTGGCTTTTAAAAATAAAAATCTGCCTGACTCTATGGGAATTTAACATATGGCTGTCCTGACTTATGCACCCTGTATTTTAAGGAAAACATTTATTTATTTATGACACATTATTCATTCACAAAGAAAATTGGTGTCCTTAAAGGTTGGAGTTTTCCTCATTTTTCTAATTAAGGCATTAAGATCAATATCCAAAAGATGATTTTTTATTCCTCTTTTTAGGCAACTTTAGCATGGGTGCCAAAACTTATTCACACCACTGTATATCTATATGTATATATATATATTATATAAACACTCACACAAACACACACTCACTCTCTCTCTCTCTCTCTCTCTCTCTCTCTCACACACACACACACACACACACACACACACACACACATATAGTAGATTCACACGCAGGCTCTCACACAGAGAGACACACTCTCTCTCACACACACACACACACACACACACTCATACACACACAGAATTCTAAATTGTTCAGAATCATTCAAGTTTTATTTTTAATCAGAATTTTATTTTCTCCATTTTTAGTCAGATTGAATAGCTAATCAACATTAAATATTCAGATAATTTTGATCAAATATGCATGATCCATATAGTTGTATAAATACACATTTAAATCAGAAACTGAATTGAAGATTGAAGAAAAGTTTATCAGTGGATGTGTTTCCGGGCGGAGAGAGAGAGCGCAGTTTCCCACTGTAAACAGAAGTGTGTGTTTAATGAGGTTACTGTTGCTTTAAGAAGGCTGATCCTCTCTCTCTCTCTCTCTCTCTCTCTTTTATCCCCCCCCACCAGCATTTACGAGGCAGCACGAGTGACGGGTGAGAGACGGAGAGATTCAGCACATGGAAGAAGAGGAGAAACACAAGGACAGCGATGCACTCGAGCGAGCGAGTCCGTGAGGAGGAGAGGGCGTCGGGAGCGAGCGGAGAAAAGCTGGATCTCTGACCGGATCATCCCACAGAAGTGAGTGCGCTATCCGAAAACCAAAAGCTCTCTGTCAGAAGTTCAAATCCTCAGGAGAAAGTTGGACGCTCCAGGACATCTACAAGTTTCTGTGCATTTCATGCGTTCATGATCTCATGAATAAGTCATGATGAGGCTGGAGCGATCCCCCCGCAGGACTAATTGGAAAAGACAGGGAATGGCATGTAATTAGAGCGTTGGGGATGAAGGGATGAGCGTAAAGCGTCACTCCTGAGCTGATGGAGATGGAGCCGAGCGATGCGGGTCGGGACACGAGCGCCCAGATCAAGCAGGCTCACGCCGGCGGCTTCAAGAAAGTGTGTCGGATCGAGGAGGACAGTGTGTGTCCGTTCCCCGGGCTGGCGGCGGACGTGCTGGAGATGAGAGTGAAGGAAGGCAGCAAAATCCGTAACCTCATGGGTTTCGCCATGACACGCATGCAGGACGGGCTGAGGCAGGTGGTGTTCAGCGGGTCGGGTCGGGCCGTCACCAAAACCATCACGTGTGCCGAGATCACCAAGAGGAAGATCGCCGGACTCCACCAGATCACCAAACTCCAGTACAGGGGCCTGCGGGAGATCTGGGAGAGTCAGGACGGAGGAGACTCGGAGATGACCATCCACCGGACGCTGCCGTCCATCAGGATCCTGCTCTCCAAAGACCCGCTGGACCCGCTGGAGCCGGGATACCAGCCGCCGGCGCTCCGAGAGGGAGAGGCTTCACACGCGCCGGGGAAACGGCCTCTGGATTCGCCCGACTCTCCGACGCTGGGGAAGAGAGTGTGTCTCTGAGTGTGTGTGTGTGTGTGTGTCTCTCAGAACCGGAACGACTATGAGACTTCATAACCAACACACACTCGTACAGACCAGACTGAGCCGCTGAGAGTTCTGTGTGTGTGTGTGTGTGTAACTCTCTCAGAACTGGACCACGACTGAGACTTCATAACCAACACACACTCGTAAAGACCAGACGGACCAGCTGAGAGTCGTGTGTGTGTGTTAAACACTATCAGAACCAGACCACGACTGTGAGACTTCATAATAATCGTATGGATCTAGCGTGGTTATTGGCATCGATGTAGAAAGCACGCCTGGGATCTGAAACGTTCTTTTGGGAACCAAAATGTTTCTTCTACGGCATTGATGAAAAACCGATGAAACTGTATTTTTAAGAGTGCATATGCACGTCACAATCTTGATTTATGGGTTTGACTGGTTTCGAGCATGCAATATCGCTCATTTAATTTAAGTATGCATATGCATTACAATTTTTGGATAAAAGCACGTGCTTAATGCATAAATGTAATTTAAACGTATAACAGGTCAAATTTAATAACGAATAAATCATGAATAAAACTACTGGTGTTACTGGTTTCCCAAGACCAAATTTCCAGCTCAAAACCATGCAAACATCTAAGATGACTTCAGATGCTTCATGATGGCTTGTGATGCTGCGTTGTTTCATGCATATGAATAAAAGTACTGGTGTTACTGGTTTCCCAAGACAATCATTGCTGTTTTAACTAGTGAAAGTCGACTATTTCTCTTGTTAAAACAAGCACACTGACAGGATAAATGACTGCGGTCTGATCTTACCACTAAAAATCTGTATTGATAATAATATGATAACTTACGTTTAGAAAGCGTCAGAAAACACAGCAGCTAAATGATAGACGGAATTGACCCCTCATTCAGACGGAGTCGATCGGCAAACCCTTCTGTATAACGTTACTGGCGGAGGTTGTTGAAGTGGGAATCCTTGAAGTGCCTCAGGCCACTAACGTACATCCAACAACCGAACATTTTGACTTGCCCTCTCGTTACTTCTGCATCATTGAGCTCGGACTACAAAATCGGAGCGAGAAATAATAATGGCGGATTGTTTGAAGTGTTGGACCGGTAGTCGATGTCCTTATTTGGCAGTTCCGCAGCAAATACTGTGATGTAATTGTTCAAAAAACGTACTAGAGAACAGAACAAGTTGAAAAATATGACCAAAACAGAATATAAAGATATAAACGAATCACCTGAAGAGAATAATTTCATCTTTTCTGTAGTTATAAACACTCCAAAATATACAACAAAATGCATTTAAGGGCTAAAAAAGTGGATTTTAATCCTGGTTTTAAGCATGCAATATGGATCATTTAATCTATTGAAATATGGATAAAATATTTGGATAAAAGCGCCTGCCCTATGCATAAATGTGATTTAAACATATAACAGGCCATACATATTCCCCGCTCAAAAAGACCTTGTTAAGATTTTTTTTAGTTTTCATTATTTCTTCACCTCAGCAAACTGACCGTATCAGGGTGTCTTTTTCGACATCTTGTGCAGGTTTGTGTGTATTGTGTAAATAAAGCGTTCCCTCGTCGTGTTTTCTCCGTTCTTGTCACCGCACAGAGAACGTGCCGGCGCGTGCAACTCTCCCGCCATGAGTTCCCGCTTTCATCCGCGCGCAAACCGAGGCGCGATCCCGATGAATGTCATTTGAGGGGATTTGTTTGAGGGACGGTTGATTTAATGACATTCTCTCTGATAAAGCCCAAACCTGCAAACTGAACTTTTTGAGTCTTTTACTCGCGATTACATAATGTCCGCGTCCTAATGCTCTGAGCGCCAGATAAATCATCTTCTGAAACGCAAACATCGAGTCTGCACTGGCATGTTTATTCTGTTTTCCTTTGGAGGATAAACGAAGCAATTTCCATAAACCCGTTTCTTAACAGGCAGAACATCTGTCAGAGGTTTAAAATGTGAATATTATTTTTCCCAGTCGACATGAAATCGAATCTTTGAATCTCTTATTACTGTAAAATGAAGCATGTGATTTAATGTCAGTCACGGTGTGTTTTCTGTCCAGAACGTCTGGCAAGATTTTCTCAGTCAACAAACAGATTAGTTTACAGTTTTTTTTTCCAAATTGCTAACACACTAAAATGACATGCACACTGCACAGCACAATTATTTAAACAGACACACAGAGCAAAACTTTTTCTCAAGTTTCCAAAACTCTAAACACATTTTCTGCTTTACACACATTTTGCATTTCAAAATACCACTTTTAAAATGCACTGAACACAGTACTCTGCATAAGACACAACAATCTGACATAAAGTCACATGTTTGCCATTTCAAAACACTACCATATAAATGACACTAATTGGTCAATTGCATGTGCCATCTGGCCAAACACCTCTATGGTTATTGTTAACACTTCAATCAGGATGTAAGCACTATAAAAACTATAAAACTATAAAAAACTATTTTTCTTGCCACTTTTTTTTTTTTACTGTAATATATTTTCTGTATACAGTAATATAATTTTTTTTCAGTCCCATGTAAATATTTCTGCTGTGCATATGTTGCACTGACTTGTTTACTGTACACTGTAAAAAAAAAATTGATGGTTTAACTTAAAAAAGTAAGTAACCTGGTTGCCTTAAAATTTTAAGTTCATTGAACTGGAAACAGTGAGTTAATACAATGAAGGAGATTAATTTAACCATCAGAAACTCAAAATTATATGTTATCTGAACTAAATAAATTATTTAAGTTGATTTGACAAAAGAAAAAATGTTGTGATTACTACACTGTAAAAATTTTTTGTTGGTTTAACTTAAAAAAGTAAGTAATCTGGTTGCCTTAAAATTTTAAGTTGATTGAACTGGAAAAAGTGAGTTAATACAATGAAGTAGAGTAATTTAACCATCAGAAACTCAAAATAATAAGTTATCTCAACTAAATAAGTTATTATAAAGTTGATTTGACAAAAGAAAATATGTTGTGATAACAAATCTTGAAAATATTTTTTTACAGTGTAGTGAAAAAATACATTACTGTAAAATGAAGTTTCAACAGCATGTGTGTGTCTGCAAATATTTCTGTGCATGTGAACAATCATATTATGGCAAATCCTACTAAAGATAGGAGTGCTTTTCACTATGCCCAACAGTGTGTAGTTGTTTAGGCAAAAAATCTGGTCATATGAATGAAGTGTGTGCCATTTCATGCAAAAGTTTGATTTTGATAATGCTGTGTGTAGTTTCGGTTGCAGTGCTTCATATGAGGTATTTTGCAGTTTGGGTGTGTGGTTTTGTGAATTGTGTTAAGTATTTTGATAAAACCAGACTAGTTTGCAAAATTGTGTGTTAGCAATTGGAAAAAACTGTAAAGTTATGAAGTTCACAGTCACATTTAGTTCAGAGAACATTCATAACTGTTCTTGCAATGTTTGCCAAATTATCAAAGGGAATGATCCAGTAACGTTTGTGTAATCAGGAAGGAACGTGTTAGCACTTCAATAATCCTGTAGGCTGGCACACACACACACAGAAGTAATGTTTTCAACTTATGAAAATGTTGGGAATGTGTTTATAGAACGCTTGGAGGCCACTTTTGCAACCGAGTCTCAATATTGTGTGTGTGTGTGTGTGTGTGTGTGTGTGTGTGTGTGTGTGTGTGTGTGTGTGTGTGTGTGTGTGTGTGTGTGTGTGTGTGTGTGTGTGTGTGTGTGTGTGTGTGTTAGACGCAGTGAGATGAACAACTGAGCTCTTTTGACAGAGTCACTTCATCAAATTCAGCATCTACTGTTTCCTCCAGAAGAGATCACAGATTGTGTCTCTATCGGTTTCCCAGCATGCATCACTCCGAGTGTGTGTGTGTGTGTGTTTGTGAGGCTCGTCTGCGAATCCTCCGGTTTGTGCGTTTCTCTCTGTCTAACCTCAGGACGTTTCTCTTGATCGTAATGAAAATCTCTGAGGGCTGAAAACCACTTAATGCTTTCAATTTATCAAAATGTCCCAGACGTGCGTTTAATATGTGTGCAGAAAACAGCCGGAGAATATAACTGAGGAAAAGACACACACTGATCTCAATCCTTTTGTCGTCCTTTCGAAAAGTTCAGATAAAAATGAGTCAATGAGTTTTACAAATTAGGAAAACTGCAGTTTGTGTGTGTGTGTGTGTGTGTGTGTTCTTCCTCAGTGTTTTCCAGCACAAATATCAAAACGTGTGTGACTGAAGATAGTTCGTCTCGTCCTAAAAAATAAAATGAAGTGAGTTTATGTTTATCATACTGTATATTCAGAATCGGAGGCAATGTAATTATTTAAGAATTGTCGTTTATAAACCAAACCAATCATTGATGCCAAACACTGTTTTGGTGTGTGTGTGTGTGTGTGTGTGTGAGTGAAACTAACAGCATTTTATGTTTGCATGAACCCTGAAAGCTCTAGTGTGTGTGTGTGTGTGTGTGTGTTCAGTGTTTCCCGAGTTCTGTGATTGGCACGTCATTATCCTCTTTCTCCAGCCGACTGAACGATGATCACGACTGACTGTAGCTCCACGCGAACTGAAGAAACTCTGGAGGCCGTTATCAGAGAGAGTCTTATCTCACACACACACACACACACACACTGCACAGTAAACACCACATCGACCTGAAGCTCGAGGGAATGCAGATGTGATAAAAGAGGGTCAACCTCTGACCTCAATCACACAGTTGCTGTTTAAACCGTTCTCGGTAACACTTCATAACACTGTTCCTGCATTAACTCAACTATATTAACATTCAATAACTAATATTAACTAACAAGAAACTCAATAATGAAATAGTAAGTAATAGCTAGCGTTAGCCGTTAGCGCTCTCACACACGTTAGCCGTAGAAATGACTTTTTTCATTTTGGTACAACATGAAGGTGAGGAAATGATGACTGATTTCGATAATTTCGAGGGAGGACGAGGAGGAACAAGAAAAAAACTGTGTTTTCTACATGTCTAAAGCCTTTCTCACATGAAAATACATTTCTCTTTTGGATTTCAAAACCTGTTAGAACTCTCTCTCTCTCTCTCTCTCTCTCTCTCTCTCTCTCTCTATCTCTCTATCTCTCCCCCTCTCTCTCTGTGTTCTCTCTCTCTCTCTCTCTCTCTCTCTCATCTATCTCTCTGTTCTCTCCCCCTTTCTCTCTGTGTTCTCTCTCTCTCTCTGTGTGTGTGTGTTCTCTCTCTCTCTCTCCCTCAGTTCTCTCTCTCTCTGTCTGTGGTTGAGGGCTCTGGGTTGTTGTACTGTAGGAGTTCACTATATCTCTCTCCCTGCAGACGGTGGCGTCTTTTCTTATCAAGAAGAATGGCCGCTGCCTCCGTTTTTCAGACAGTCTTATCTGGGAATCCTTTAAATTGAATATTTACAGGCTGATGTTCCCTGAAGCCGCAGGCCCCGCTCTCTTCACTCCGGACGGGCCTGAGCCGACACAAACCGGATCTTCTGCAAATAACAGTAAGATTGATTATGCATTCAGAGGAAATGAATGCTGTGAATGTCCACAAAAAGAATGTCCTGTAAATTATGCAAACCACTTTCATTTCATATAATAGAAAGTGCAAAAGAAATGGGAAGGAAATGAGAACAGGAGAAAAGCAGTGGATTTCTAAAACCACTGATCCATGAAGCCCCGCCTCTGAAAACTGACCAATTGGAACATAGCAACAGTTGCCACCCAACATAATATATTTTATTTTAAATGGACTTTGACAGACATCATCCAAAAATAATTCTGTATCACTTATAGTGAGAAGACATTGTATATTTATAATCTTTTTTTCCCAACAAATCTTGAGGAGTTCCTGCAGATTAAACTCTATCATTCCCAAATGTCTGGAAAACATCAGCAAGAGCTCCTACTTTTGCTGCAAGATACATTAATGTTCATCATGTCAATTTTACTTTCCAAACTCATTCATGCAGCTTTAATAAGGAAGTAACAGTTTCTAGTTCTTAAGAATTTAACCATTTCTTAGTTACAGTCTAAATATTTTACTTCTGGAAACTGTTACTTTTTAAATTGTTACAAAGTAACAGTTTCTAGAAGTAAAATCTTTCGAATGTAACAATTTTAAAAGTAACAGTTTCTAGTTGTAAAATCTTAAGAATGGAACCATTTTAAAAGTAACAGAAGTAAGTAATATCTTAAGAATGTAACAACCAAACTTTCCAAACTTAATAATACAGGCAAAAGCACAATATGTTCTGATTTATGGAGTCAATCCAAAATCCTTGAATCCCTGAATTAAAAACCTTTAACTCAAAAATCAGCAAAATCTAAATGTTGAACATGCATGGCCTTATCCAAAGCTCAGATTTCTGTACTGGAATGTATGCATGAAAACTGGTGCATATACAAGTTTAATGCCTCATTGAAAAATATAGCCGTGGAACAACAATTGTTACACTCCTTTTAATGTTAATAATGTAAGTGTTATTTTTTTTCAGAACCATTTAACCTTTTCAAATTGTGTGTGTGTGTGTGTGAGAGATAGAGATAGAGAGAGAGAGAGAGAGAGAGAGAGAGAGAGAGAGAGAGAGAGAGAGAGAGAGAGTGTGTGTGTGTGTGTGTGTGTTCACACAGCAAGTGAGCACCAGAGGTTGTAAGTGTTTTTATTTTATTTAATTGATGTTCTCATCATTAACAAAGAAGGTGTCTGATGAATATTGCGCCACAAATGGTCTAGTTTGTTGTTCCCAGACCAGTTTGGATCCTGTCGTGTTCTCCAGACATTCCTGGACCGGGTTCAGGAGCGTCGGCCAGCATGTGTGTGTGTGTGTGTGTGTGTGTGTGTGTGTGTGACAGCTCATGCAGAGACTCAGAAACTCCTGCGTGCTGAATTAATGGGAGCAGTTGAGGGTGTAATTGCAGTGCTGGAGTCAAAGCTGTGAGACACGATAATGTCCGCTGAATAAAAGCCTGGCAGAGTTTACGCACTGAACAATATTAGCGGATTACACACATCAAACAAGCTCTGATTAATGCCTGAGAGGCAGGACACAGTCGAAACAGGAGGAAATCGGAGATAATTGTATGAATATTTGAAAGCGCTAATGACCTAAAATCATTCTGCACAATAAAGAGTGCACTAGACACGTTTGAGGAATCACCATAGACTGGAAAAAAGGGAATCACAAGTTAAAATACTTGGATTTGTGCCGAGGTTGTTTCTGTTGTCGAGAAGGACATGTTCACCAACATGTTCTAGTTAATGATCTTACAGTTTCAGTGCATGCAGTTTTATCTCAGACCTAAAGTTTAAAGGGATATTTCACCAAAAAAACAAAAAGAAAAATTCTGTCATTTAACCCAAACCTAAAATTCTGTTGAACACAAAAGAAGATATTTTGAAGAATGTTGGTAATCAGAGAGTTGACCAAGGGTGAGTAAATACATTATGACAGAATTTTCATTTTGGGATGAACTGTCCCTTTAAGGCTTAAAGGTACAACTCCCTAAATCTTTAGGCCTGAGATAAAACTGATGAACTTTATCCACAGTGAAACACAAATGCTCTGGAACAGGTTTCCAGAAGTGAAATCTTAAGAATGTAACAATTTTGAAAGTAACAGTTTCCAGGAGTATAAAATATTTAGAATGTAACAATTTTAAAAGTAACCGTTTAGAAGTATACAATATTTAGACTGTAACAATTTTAAAAGTAACTGTTTAGAAGTATAAAAGATTTAGAATGTAACAATCTTAAAAGTAACAGTTTCTAAATATTTAGAATGTAACCATTTTTTAAAGTAACAGTTTCTTGGAGTATGAAATATTTAGAATGTAATAATTTTAAAAGTAATAGTTGTAAACAACATGAGGGTGAGTGAAGACAGAATTTTTAGTTTTGGGTGAACTGTACCTTTAAGGTTTTAAGCAGGGATTGATGATGTGACAGTGGTGGAGCAAGTTATTGCATTTAGATTATGAAGACAAATATTGTTCATTTGGCTGTGCACCAAGCAGTGTTATTTTAATATCACCGATGTACCGTTATTGCCTTTTATTAATATTTACAATTTTAGAGTTGTTAGAGTTGTTGCGTTTTGTCATTTTTATTAGTTTTTAAACATCCATTTCATTTTTATTATTTTTTATTTCAGTTTTAGTTTAGTTATAACTTCTAGGTATTTTAGTATAGTTACTAGACTAAATGAAAATGAGAATTTTTGCCTTGGCAACAAGCTGAAAAAAAAAAGTCAGCCAATATTTTTCATTTCAGTTAATATTTCTTTTCATTTAAGTAATGGGACTTTTATATAAAAGTATTGGTACCAAATAATGTATGTTTTGGAGGTTTATGACTAGCCTATATACACGGCATTTATCAGCCATTATTAATTTGAAAGTGTCTAATTATTAGGGGGATTACTGAAATAAAGTGAGTCATTTGGTCATGTGATCTCTGCATGGTGATCAGTGTGATATGACTGCAAAGTTGACCAACTAGCAGAGCGCGCGCCCTAGAGCTGACGTCACTGTCCGAGGCTTCGGTCCATTTCTGTGTTTCTGCTGCCATCTAGAGGTGAAAGAACTAAGTGTGTAATACATTATATAGAGATAAATCTGTAATCTTTATTTGGATAAATATCACATTCAAAAGTGATGTGTTTTAAATGCAAACCCTGTCCTGAAATGTGATGTGTTATTTACAGATTTATGACCTTCACTTCGGAAAATACTAAAACAAACTTTGAGAATATCACATACCACTGAATTTATTTATTTTAGTTATTTTGTGTTCAATTTTTTCTTAACTTGACCTCGATTTTTAAAAGATTTATTAATAATAATAATAATAATAATAACAATAACAATGATAAAAATTAAATATAACCGAGATGACAGCCCAGACGTTTTAAAACAAATCTAAGGGAGGAATGAAACTTGAAACTCTCTAAATTACTGGAAATGTATGGAAGTATACCTATTTTTTTACAGTCTATGAAGTATACCCCCATATAATTAGCTTTTCATATTTTTTTATCTATGTTATTATCATGTTGTTTACGATATACTGCTATAATATGTCAATGCTGTTTGTTATTTGAAATGATTTCATAAAGAAAGTAAGAAGCGGACAGCCATTCCTCTTCTGCATGCGTCATCTCTCCGCGCGCCCTCACTTGAGTTGCGTCATCAGCGCGCGCCCTGCCCTGTTTGGACCAAATTCCTTCTATCTTTGGACCCAGCACCAGCGCGATGATTTCAGCAGCGGTTCTGCGAGGTGTCGCGAGCCTGACCCGGGCACGAGCCGCTCACACAGGTACAGGAACACGCACGAGCTGGATCACAGCGACTCTGATGATGTCATTGACCTGTCATTGATTCTATTAGATTCCCTCGCGTTCAGGTTCATACAATGGTTGACAGGTCATTAGTTGTTGGTTGGAAGTGTGTGTGTGTGTGTGTGTGTGTGTGTGTGTGTGTGTGTGCCCTTATAATGACCCTAAATAACTCATATGACACGTGTATTATTATTTGTATCTATAATAATATAAATCTTGATCTTGAATGTGATCCATGTTGTTTTTCTAGATTCTTTGATAAATAGAAAGTTCAAAAGAACAGCATTTATTTAAAATAAAATCTTTTGTGTCATTATAAATGTGTTCAGTAACTTTTGATCAATGTAATGAGTCCTTGATTAATAAAAGTATTGTTAAAATAAAATCACACACACACACACGCTGAATGTTTCCCTCTGTTCGCAGCTCCGCTGGCCGTCAGATGTTACTCTCACACTAAAGTGGAGACGGACGAGGAGTTTGACTCGCGCTGGGTGACGTACTTCAGCAAACCAGACCTGGACGCCTGGGAGCTGCGCAAAGGTGAAGAACACACACACACACTGATCTCACACACACACTGATCTCACACACACTGATCTGAGTGTGTTTTGTCCTCAGGGATGAACACTCTGATTGGCTACGATCTCGTTCCGGAGCCGAAGATCTTGGCGTCGGCTCTGCGCGCCTGCAGGCGATTGGATGATCTGGCCAGTGCCATCCGCATCCTAGAGGCCGTCAAGGTGAGACTAACTAATGTGGGCGGGGCTTCATTTAATTAGTGCGGAATTGATTGGATGGTAGTGGTTTGCTTGAGTGACAGGTTATAGCCCCGCCCTCGAGATGCTGCGAGAGGAACTGATTCTGATTCAGGATTATTAACACAATAATGATGTGCACCCATAAATCATTAAAAATGTGTGTGTGTGTGTGTGTGTGTGAGATGTCGCTGTAAGGGGAAGTTCCTGTGATTGACCTGTTGTGGTGTGTTCCGTCAGGATAAGTCGGGTCCTCATCGGGACATTTACCCGTATGTGATCCAGGAGCTCGGCCCGACTCTGCAGGAGCTCGGCATCTCCACGCCGGAGGAGCTCGGCATACACACCGCCTGATGCTGCTCACGAGCCGCCGTTTACATGTGTGTGTGTTCCTCCTCACTCTGACGCTCTGACCCGCTGTGTGTCCGTGTGTTTCACTACTGCGGATCTGCTTGGAAAAATGAGTTACTTTTACGTGTGTGTGTGTTCATGTTGTATCGGCAAACACTGATGAGGTCGGAAATTATTATAATATTTATATTTAATAGATATAATGAAATGTACTGGTTTGATTTATTCTGTTTTCTAAAGGCTGGCCTGAAATATTGAGATTAATGATAGGTACTTAGTTCTCTTAAAGTTTATACATCTTACAGTATAATGGTGGTTAGAAAAGGAATGCATATATGTAAATTAAAAACACATTTCTAACAATTTTATAACGGTCTTTAGACACACACACATAATATTTATTTATATAATATTTATATAAATAAAAAAAAATACAAATACTACTAAACTATATATTAATTAATATACACTATATATATTATAAATATTAAATGTGAATTTCTTAATACATTAATATATAAATATTACAATGTTTTACATATATATATGGCTATATAAATATGTATGTATGTATGTATATTTCTATATATATATATATATATATATTATACAGTGTTTGAAATGAACTTTTTCACTCACCGGCTGCTACATTTTTAAGTTACCAGGCATTCAAAACTATATTTATTTATACTGTATTTGAAGAGTTCAGATGCAAAAGCCTCTAAGTGCCATTTGAAATTTTCTTCTAGAATGATCATTTTTATCAAGCTTGTATATTTAAGTTCAGTAATTTCACTTAAATTGCAATGAGGATTACCTATTAATTGTCATTTAAGTGAAATTACTGAACTTGAATATATAAGCTTGATAAAAATGACCATTTTAGAAGAAAATTTCAAATGGCACTTAGAGGCTTTTGCATCTGAACTCTTCATTTTATATTTTTATAAAATAAATACTACAATACTTGCCAACAAAAAGTTTGAAAATGATTAAACATGTAATTACTTACAGGTATTATTAAATATATGCACAATGTAAAAACATGTATATGGACAATAAGAACATTGTATCAAGTGATTAATGTAAATGTTGCAGACGGCTCGTGTTGAATCCCGTCTTTGTTTCTGTTTCAGGGTTTCTGTGCGTCCGATGTTCTGGGAGTCCAGCTCGTCCCGTCCTGTATGAAATACAGCCCAAATAAATTATAAAGCAATACTGAAAGAGTGTGTGAGAGTTTTCCTGCGTCACTGTCAGCTTGTGTTTGAATGAGTTTGTACACACAGACACTGAATTACATGTGTGTGTTTCTGATGCTGACAATTTGATTAAACATTATTATCCAGCATTGAGGGCATTCCTCCATTTTTTTTATACTCTGTATTATTCCAGTATTTGGGCATGTTCTCTGAAACGTTTATAAATAGGCGTATTTTTTAAGATTTGTAAGTATTGAACGCACTGCTCGCGTCGGCCTGCAGTAGCGCTGGAGCGCCTGTGGGGGCAGCAGTGCGCACAATCAGCCGAGTGTGACGTCAGCGGAAGAAGAAGAAGCGCTCTGTGTACAGCTGTGTTTATATACTCTATTAGCATCACTTTCGATTATGTGATTTAAGACATGATTTCTGATTTAAACTTTAATTCTGAAACACCGACATGAGCGACACGATGGAGAGCCGAGAGCAGCGCACTCTTGTGTCCGAGCGAGAGGCTTCAGAAGAGACCAAGGTGATTTTGATGGAGTTTTAGCATTGTTGTTGCGTTAAACACCATTAATAATCATAAATGAAGATCACGTGTTCACGTGCTAGTGTGTGTCCTGTCATCGGGTCAGTCAAAGCCGTGTGAATGTTAACGTTAGTTTGGGTGGAGTTCAACACTTCGAGTGGATCAAGTCTTGACAACACGAAATATATTTCAGAATTTAAGAGTTTTAGCCAAATAAGTAGCACTAGCAAATTAAATTGGCTTTCGTTGTATTAAGTAATACTGAAATTACAAACACTATATTATGGAGAATGTTGTATGATTGTTATAATGTTATAAGATTGCTTTTATGCACAAGTTATAACATACAACACAAATAACGTTACAGTGAGTGAGTGTGTGTGTGCAACAGAGTGGCTGAGTTTGAGTCTGTGTGTGTGTTAGAGAGTGAGTTTGAGTCTCTTTCTCTGTGTATGTGTGTGTGTGTGTGTGTGTTTGAGAGAGAGAGAGAGAGAGAGAGAGAGAATGATTGTGTGTGTGTGTGATCTATACCAGGTTACGAATGCAATTGCAACTGAGAAAAATGTGGTAGTAATATCTTGTGAATGTGAAATGTGTCGCTGACGTCATCATGTGACTGGTGTTTGTTCATCAGAGACGGGGAAACAGGGATCAGCCGAACACAGGAGACGGGCGAGAGAAGACCGGACCGTATCTCATGACCAAAGCTCATGCTCTCAACACCAAACTCCGTGAGTCCAGCAGGAGACCGTCTCAAAGCACACACAGGGTTAAGAATAAATGGAGAATGAATGGGAGTCAATGGGGTTTCACCCCCAGAAATCCACTTTTCGCAGGATGTAATTTTTTGTCAACTAATTTGAAAGTTGCATTCAAAAGGGGAGGGCTAAGATAATACACTCAGCTGAAAATTGCATTTTTAAGCATAATATTAAGCATGGCATAATTAAATAACTGTACACAAAATACTGATTCGACTGAGTTTTAATATTTTACTAGCTCACCAAACGCAAAACTTCCACGAAAAAAAAAAAAAAAAAACGTTCCTGTGTAGTGCTGATGACTTCAGTGACCCGGATGAACCTGTGTTTCTGTTCTCTGTTGTTATCTGGGAATAACACACGGTTAACCAATCAGAATCAAGCATTCCACTGTGTAATTAGCATGGGAATTAGTGAAAGTAAACAGTGTGGTACGTTGTTGTTTTTTTGGGTTTTTTTCTCTCTTCTTTCCTTCTTTATTTTGTTTATGCAATAATGAATCTACTTGTTCAATATATACATTGTTGGAAATGATCCAGATGTTTAAGAGGTGCATGTTTGCACTATTGTGAAACAATTATTGAATTAAAAAAAACAAAAAAACAGTGTGGTATGTTTGGTCTTAAAGTGACAGAGACTAATATCCTACTTTCTGTGAATCAAACAAAAGAGACTTGTTTTTAGCTTTAATAAGAATAGATTTATATTTAATTAATGCAGTGCAACGTAATTTTACATTTGATTTTCACATTCTAACTACATGTTAAATAAACCTATCTTACCTCAAATCTTAATGTTTGTTAAATTTTGTCCCATAATATTGTAATTTGATTATTTTTTTCTTATTTTTAATAGCGGAAATGAGATTACACAAAATAGCGAATGTCATGATATGTATCGATTTTTCTAACATGGTGAAATAAGGATTTGGTCAACCGTGTGTGACGGATGTGTTTCTCCGCAGAGCGACAGAGAGAGTCGGCCAGACGAGTTCTGCTGCAGAGAGGCTCGAGTCCAGCCAGGTCTTCGCTTCATCCGCCGAGACACAAACCAAAGACGTGAGTCTAACCATGATGCGTAGCTTTTTCAGGGAACATTGCACGTTTGAGAGTGGCCTTTTATTGTGGACAGCCCTAAGGCACACCTGTGCGATACTCCTGCTGTGTAATGCTACGTTCACACCGGATGCGAATCGTGCGTCAAATTCGCGCCTGACGCGTCTAGTTTGACGCTTGACCACTTTGTGTTAATTCGCGTGTCAAGAGTAAAACTGACGCGCGTAAAAACTTCAAAAAGTTTGAAGCGAAATTTACGCGCGTCAGAATCGAAATCCGTTGGCGGCCATTGTTTTTATGTCGACCGAGCATTCATCGAGTGTTATTAACTTGTCCTGTGATGTTTTTCTCTCTCACTTCCAGACACGAACTTATGCACATGTATGTTGATTGTCTTTACATCATAATACTATTTCATATAATCTAGATATGGAATAAATAACATTCAATACAAAATGAACATGTCTCGTATATAGAAATAATGTTTTAAATGATAAAATATTTGCTTTGTTGTGCATAATCCCACCATGCATTTAGTCATATTAACAAAATAATTTATTGAAGCATCCAGACACTTCACCACGTGAGCAAGCAGCTAGGCTCCTGATTGGTTAACGCGACGCGAATTCACGCCAAAGTTAAGATTTTTTTTTTGACGCGAATTCGCGTCAAACGCGTGAATGCACAAATGGCACTAACTAAATCATTCGTGCGTAACGCGCTTAACGCGCCAGACGCTCAATTCGCGGCATTCGTGCAAATGAGGCGTATTCGCGTCTTCCGCGCTGCGCTCCACGTCTCATTCGAGCCGCAGGAATTTTTTACGTGCGTAACATGTCTTTGCATTGACTTAACCTCTCAACTGTCACCCCCCCTTTTTTGAATAGACATGGAAATGCTCATTTCAAACTTAAATGGTTTAATTCAAGAATGCTTTGGAATATAGACGCAAGATTGGTCTCGTTTTAAAGAAGACATTTGGCAGATTTTTCTCGAAGTGAAATAAATTAGGAAAGTGAAACAGAAAAAAAGTTATGGAAGTTTGAGTTTATAGAAATGTACAATGTAAAAAAATGTATTATTCATATTTTATTTAAAATATATATTTTCAAAACCTGGGCTACTCTAAAACTGCAGAAAAATCAAAGCCAAAAATCTGAACAAGTTGTGTTTCAAATTTTAGGTTGATATCTCAAAAAATGAGCTTTCAGTGAGATTTTGTTTGAGCGCAGTACCAAACTTTTTCACTAGGGCACAATCAGACTCCATTACTGCCCATATAAGGGCGTCTCCATTTCCATTCGTGTTTTGAGTGATCTGAACCATTATTTTCACAAATTTCACACAATTTTTGAAGTAGAAATCCTATTCAGAAGTAGTATGGGTAGTTTGGCAGATTTTGATATGAATTCAACCTCTAGAAATCACATACAAAGCACACGCATGCGCGTTATAGCTTATTGCCATAACACAAATGGTGAATCTATTTTTTTTCGTAATATTTAAAACATATTCAGACCTTTTTTCTAAAATAATTGAATGGATGCTATCTTTTGAACTCTTGGCATGAAATCAAACTGAGGCTTCTAACTTTTTTTCATGATTTTTCATGTTCACTGCTATTTCAAAATAAAGGTCTGAACACGCTTTGAGTATGAAAATATTCTTGTTGCAAATTGATAAATTACGGCTCGTGTGTAAATTATTTTGAAAATCAAATATGGAAACTAGAGATTGTAAGCTTTCAAATGATATATAGTTTGTCAATATTACTTAAGGTCTTTTCTAAGATATTATTGTTTTAAAAATATAATGGCATCCGCGCCTGATGTGCTATTCGCGTCCGGTGTGAACGTACCATTATCCGCATCTTGATACGCCACACCAGTGAGGTGGAGGGATGATCTCGTGCTCACTAACACAGATTTGTGAACAATATTTGGAAATTAGAAATAGACCTTTTGTGTGCATAGATAAAGTCTCAGATCTTTGAGTTCAGCGGGGGCAAGCAGCTAGGCTCCTGATTGGTTAACGCGGCGCGAATTCACGCCAAAGTTCAGATTTTTCAACTAGCGAGTCCGGCAGACGCGAATAAACACTTTTCTAAACAAGTGTTGCGTTTATAATTTTGTTGTGTGTACTTGTTGCTAATATTACATTTGATCCTCATGAAGCATCATTTTGTCCTCAGAAACATTGCAGTCCTCCTCCATCACAGTGTTGTTCTCAGTGCTGTTGTTCTCTTCTCCTCAGTGTGAAGTTTAATAAGGGATACGCTGCCTTGAGTCAGACAGGAGAAGATTCGCTCATCTCGCTGGATTCAGACAGGTGAGACTCGCTGTCCTCTGCCTCGTGTCTGTTAGACAAACTGGCTGGAAAATCTATTATATGATCAGAAATTACTAGACGATTCCCACGAAAGATCAGGGTTCTCATTTATATTAATTTTTGATTTTGATTTTTTGAATTGAAATTAATTTTTGATGTGTTTTAGCTTACCTCAAGGACATCCGAGATGTAGGTGTCTTTGGTTCCGCAGTATTTTTGTAGACTTGGGATTAAAGCCTCTTGTTTCTCTGTTATTATTCAATTTACGGAACCGGACGCCAGTTATCTTGCCAAGAAAGTCAGGAGAGAAACAGAACAAAAGTGGATGTTAGACATTGTCTAGACTTGTTCAGACATTTCCTGTTGAAATTCTTATGTTGGTCATAATTCCAATTCAAAAAGAATAATCTGTGATTGTGAATGCCAGTTTCCACACCAGACACACACTCTCCTCACAACCCACGTAAAGCTGATCATGCCGCGAATAACTGCAGTTGCAGATTTCAGACAGAGATGGCGACAAAGAGGAAAAACTACAGACTGCAGCTTTAAATGCTCATTATGAGTCCTAATCATAAATAGACGCATGTGCCACAATCTTCCACTGACTGGGATTTATAATGGGAATTTCGCGCAGGTTCTGTATAAGTCTGATTATTTTTGCCTTTTGCGCGCACAAACACGTTTAGTTAGGATCCCACACACAGTTTTATAAATGAGAGCCCTGAGATAGAGAATGAAGTGTGTGTTGATGGATTGAGTGATTGATTCGTGTTGTTTGATTTCTTCAGTGATGCGGAGCTGGATTGTTCGTCTGGATATTCCTCAGCTGAGGTTAGTTAATGCCTTTAAACTGTTTGGGAAACGGGTTGCATGACCATCAAATTAATACAGAATTAAATGATCAATTATAAAAGTGTCACTTTTTTATCACAAGTACACCTCAGGTGTTCCTCAGGTGTTCCTCAGGTGTTCCTCATGTGTTCCTCATGTGTTCCTCATGTGTTCCTCGTGCGTTCCTCATGTGTTCTTCACGTGTTCCTCATGTGTTCCTCATGTGTTCCTCATGTGTCGATCAGGTGTTCCTCATGTGTTGATTATGTGTTCCTCAGGTGTTCCTCAGGTGTTCCTCAGGTGTTCCTCAGGTGTTCCTCAGGTGTTCCTCATGTGTTGATTATGTGTTCCTCATGTGTTCCTCATGTGTTCCTCAGGTGTTCCTCAGGTGTTCCTCATGTGTTCCTCATGTGTTCCTCATGTGTTCCTCATGTGTTCCTCGTGTGTGTCTCGTGTGTTGATTATGTGTTCCTCATGTGTTCCTCATGTGTTCCTCATGTGTCGATCAGGTGTTCCTCAGGTGTTCCTCATGTGTTCCTCATGTGTTCCTCGTGTGTTCCTCGTGTGTTCCTCGTGTGTTCCTCGTGTGTTCCTCGTGTGTTCCTCATGTGTTCCTCATGTGTTCCTCATGTGTCGATCAGGTGTTCCTCGTGTTCCTCGTGTGTTCCTCATGTGTTCCTCACGTGTTCCTCATGTGTTGATCAGGTGTTCCTCAGGTGTTCCTCATGTGTTGATTATGTGTTCCTCATGTGTTCCTCGTGTGTTCCTCGTGTGTTGATTATGTGTTCCTCATGTGTTCCTCATGTGTCGATCAGGTGTTCCTCATGTGTTCCTCGTGTGTTCCTCGTGTGTTCCTCGTGTGTTCCTCGTGTGTTCCTCATGTGTTCCTCATGTGTCGATCAGGTGTTCCTCGTGTTCCTCGTGTGTTCCTCGTGTGTTCCTCATGTGTTCCTCATGTGTTCCTCACGTGTTCCTCATGTGTTGATCAGGTGTTCCTCATGTGTTCCTCGTGTGTTCCTCGTGTGTTCCTCGTGTGTTCCTCGTGTGTTCCTCATGCGTTCCTCATGCGTTCCTCGTGTGTTCCTCGTGTGTTCCTCACATGTTCCTCACGTGTTCCTCACGTGTTCCTCACGTGTTCCTCAGGTGTTCCTCGTGTGTTCCTCGTGTGTTCCTCATGTGTCGATCAGGTGTTCCTCATGTGTTGATTATGTGTTCCTCATGTGTTCCTCATGTGTTCCTCACGTGTTCCTCATGTGTCGATCAGGTGTTCCTCATGTGTTCCTCATGTGTTCCTCGTGTGTTCCTCGTGTGTTCCTCATGTGTTCCTCATGCGTTCCTCATGCGTTCCTCGTGTGTTCCTCGTGTGTTCCTCACATGTTCCTCACGTGTTCCTCACGTGTTCCTCACGTGTTCCTCAGGTGTTCCTCATGTGTTCCTCAGGTGTTCCTCGTGTGTTCATCACTTGTTACTCACGTGTTCCGTGTGTTCCGTGTGTTCCTCACGTGTTCCTCATGTGTTCCTCGTGTTCCTCAGGTGTTCCTCGTGTGTTCCTCGTGTGTTCCTCACATGTTCCTCAGGTGTTCCTCGTGTTCCTCAGGTGTTCCTCGTGTGTTCCTCAGGTGTTCCTCAGGTGTTCCTCGTGTGTTCCTTGTGTGTTCCTCGTGTGTTCCTCGTGTGTTCCTCACGTGTTCTTCACGTGTTCCTCATGCGTTCCTCGTGTGTTCCTCATGTGTTCCTCATGTGTTCCTCAGGTGTTCCTTATGTGTTCCTCATGTGTTCCTCGTGTGTTCCTCATGCATTCCTCGTGCATTCCTCGTGTGTTCTTCAGGTGTTCCTCATGTGTTGATCAGGTGTTCCTGTTGTGTTGATCAGGTGTTCCTCATGTGTTCCTCATGCGTTCCTCGTGTGTTCCTCAGGTGTTCCTCATGTGTTGATCAGGTGTTCCTCATGTGTCGATCAGGTGTTCCTCATGTGTTCCTCATGTGTTCCTCAGGTGTTCCTCAGGTGTTCCTCACGTGATCCTCAGGTGTTCCTCATGTGTTCCTCAGGTGTTCCTCGTGTGTTCATCACTTGTTACTCACGTGTTCCGTGTGTTCCGTGTGTTCCTCACGTGTTCCTCACGTGTTCCATGTGTTCCTCGTGTTCCTCAGGTGTTCCTCGTGTGTTCCTCGTGTGTTCCTCACATGTTCCTCAGGTGTTCCTCGTGTTCCTCAGGTGTTCCTCGTGTGTTCCTCAGGTGTTCCTCAGGTGTTCCTCGTGTGTTCCTCGTGTGTTCCTTGTGTGTTCCTCGTGTGTTCCTCAGGTGTTCCTCAGGTGTTCCTCATGTGTTCCTCATGTGTTCCTCAGGTGTTCCTCATGTGTTCCTCATGTGTTCCTCATGTGTTCCTCGTGTGTTCCTCATGCATTCCTCGTGCGTTCCTCGTGTGTTGATCAGGTGTTCCTGTTGTGTTGATCAGGTGTTCCTCATGTGTTCCTCATGCGTTCCTCATGTTCCTCATGCATTCCTCGTGCGTTCCTCGTGTGTTCCTCAGGTGTTCCTCATGTGTTGATCAGGTGTTCCTCATGTGTCGATCAGGTGTTCCTCATGCGTTCCTCGTGTGTTCCGTGTGTTCCTCAGGTGTTCCTCATGTGTTCCTCAGATGTTCCTCATGCGTTCCTCGTGTGTTCCTCACATGTTCCTCACGTGTTCCTCACGTGTTCCTCAGGTGTTCCTCACGTGTTCCTCACGTGTTCCTCAGGTGTTCCTCGTGTGTTCCTCATGTGTTCCTCAGATGTTCCTCATGTGTTGATCATGTGTTCCTCAGGTGTTCCTCGTGTTCCTCAGGTGTTCCTCATGTGTTCCTCAGGTGTTCCTCATGTGTTCCTCACGTGTTCCTCATGTGTTCCTCAGATGTTCCTCACGTGTTCCTCATGTGTTCCTCAGGTGCACCCGGACCTGAGTCGGCAGCTGCTGAAGGATGGATATCACCTGGATGAAATCCCTGATGATGAAGATCTGGACCTCATTCCCCCGAAAGCCTTGAGCTCCTCCGTCTGCTGCTGCGCTGATGTTTCATCCTGCTGTGTGCAGTGAAGTGTGTGTGTGTGTGTGTGTGTGTGTTTAATGGATCAAAGAGTTCTGCCCAAGTTCTTACAGTGTTTTTAAGAACAGTCATTTTGTTTGTGATGGTTGAAGCCCCGCGTCGTTCATTCTGTTGGTAAAACACTTGTTTTCGACGCTCATGCAAGTGTGATTCGCTAGTGTCCGTATCCCACAAAACCGCTTCGCAACCCTGTCATTAATCACCCTAGTTATATTTAAAGTCCCCCTGTGGTGAAACTCCAGGTTTTAATGTAGTTTATGTGTGTATGTGGTGTGTTTAATCCGCTTTAACACACACGGTGTGTAAGTTGATAAGTGGACAGCATTGCTGAGTATTTCCTCCTTAAAACCAAAGACAGTCTCAAAAACACGCTGTGAGATCGCTGGTGTTTCTGACGTCACAAACCACCTCGTAACCAATCAGATCAACGTGTGATCGTCAACCAGTGAGTGAGTGGAGGCGGGGTTTATTTGCATATTCATAGAACCGCGCATACTAAATGAGGCAAGGGTGTCGAGTTACATTCAAGATATTTTCAAGCAAGGAAAAAAAACTTTGAATATGTAATTTCGGTGATCAAAGATGAGTTTGAAGGGATAAATTGACCACAGGGGGACTTAAATTCTGCTTAGGATCATAACAGCAGATGTTTTGCACTATTGCATTATTTTATTTCTTCTTTCTTGCGTTTATTGGTAACTCTTTACAGTGAGGTCTCGTTTGTTAACATTAGTTAATGTTCATGTTACTTCACAGTGCAACAACTAAATACAACTACATGTATTCATAAATGTTGAGCTTGACCTTTAGTAATATTATTAAATGCTGTAGATGTTAACTAATGTTTACCCCATTGTTAAGTGTTAACAGTTTATTTATGCCGGATTCTCATTAACGTAACGCCAACGATCTGATCCTCATGGCTGTAATCAGGTCATTAAACAATATTTAAACTGTCCATGTTTTGTACATCATGGTAGTATTTGTACGTATTTGTAAACTCATCACTGAGAATAACAGACTTCAGTAACAACATCAATATTTGGTTTGTGTTTGGGCTGAAGTATGATCAGGACGCGCTTGAATGACATTCATGCATATTTGACTCCAGTGATGAGTTTCTAACTTTATTCTGTGAGTTATTTGTCATCTAATCATGAAAGCGCCTGTTTATGGCCGATGTTTCAGAGGAACTAAAGACTAAAGTGGGATCTGAAAGAAAATAAATTACCCATGATTCTCCAGTGCAGCGTTTGGGGAAGCGCGGTGTTACTGATATTGAGAAAGCTGACACTACTTTACATACTGTTGAGTTAAACAGGATGTGTGTGTGTGTGTCTGTGTGTGTGTGTGTGTCAAGGTCATGTATGTGTTTGGACTCTTTTGTCAAGTGTTTATTAACTTTTTTTATATTTTCTCTCTGTAAACATGTACTTTGAGCACCAACGCTTTATGAGATCGGCCTGATGTTCTGTTACTCTGATAGAAGGAGGGATTTTGTTTATAACGTGAAGTGAGACGACTGAAACACTCGCTGTCGGATATAAATGTTATTTTGTATTTATAACAAGCGTAATCGAGAATATTTTATCTGCCCTTTAAATAAGACAAGATATTGGTTTGAATATTAGGAAACTGTGTGTGTGTGTGTGAGGGAGAGAGAGATTTAGTCAGACTGGACAATCTTCAACACTATGCAACAAAACACTTCAATTCTTCACTTTAGCCACAGCAAACCAGTTTCTGACTTTACCATGCAATAACTTTTATTTTGTTGTAAGAAAAATATTATTTGTACGTATCAATGTTTTGTGAAATTAAAGGAAATGCTTAAACTCTATCTGTGGTGCTCATTATAAGCCGTCGAGCTGACAGAAAGATGTTAAATACATATATTTACGCTACACACTAACCTGCAACGTTGCACTGACTGCGCATGTCCGCCAGAGGCCGCTGCTGTGACGCTGCTCACACTCACACATCGTTTTAAAATATTTTTTTTTTTTCTTTTGACAGTCATGCGTTTGATTCTTGCACTTGAAATCACACCAGTGGCTTTTGAACCAATGTAATATGCTGTAATGAGAGCCTTTCATGAATTGAAACAGTAAAGAAGACAAAGTCATCCATTAATGTTCTCCTTTCAGCTTTTCGACACATTGCAATTTGCAAATAATCACACTTCCATCTGATGTTCAGATTAAAACCTCAACATCTTCCAGGAAATGCTCTCTCTGTAGGAGGTTAACTAGGTTAAGAAACAGCCATAGTCTATTCAAGCACGGAATAAAGTGTATACATATATATATATTTTGTTTTTTTGGTTATACTTTATTTGAAGGTGTCATTGTTGCAGTGTAATGACATATTTAAGTTGTGAGTATTAATGTACTATAGCTTCAGCCAGGGTATGATTAGGGTGTGCTCGAGGATTAGAGAGATGTAATTATGCATAATTTACTGTTATTACTATAGTAGGACACTGTAAAATGAAGTGTTACCATGTTTGATTATTACAGATTGTTTAAATGAGTTTATATTTAAAATTTGGTGTTTTGCAAATACCACCACATGCATTATTCCACCAGTGTGTGTGTGTGTGTGAGTGATTGGCAGATGGGCGCTGTGAACTCATTCCGCGTAGCGCGTGCAAGTCGCGCGCTCTCGCGAGGTGGGGGCGCGCGGCGCGTCGCGGAAACGCCAGAGACGCGAGCACAGAGCGGAAGGGACTGGAGCTGATTCTGCAGGGAGTTGAACGCCGGGCGTCTCGGAGTGTGTGTGTGTGTGTGTGTATGTGTGTGATCACGGTTCTGCTCGCTTTAAACGGAGCGCACCGGAGTGTCACGCGCTCGCTCGCCGGAGGAACGGGAAAGCGCCGCCGGTGCGCGTGCACACAATTCACCGAGGGTTACCGAGTGGAAGAGCCGAGAGGAACGGAACGGAACGGAACGGAACGCAGGAATGGTAGATAACAGCAGCAAAACACAGATGGTGAGTCCGTGTAACTTACTTTAAATGTTCATAATGTTGCTTAGCTAGTACCTCAGCTGGAGAACTCGGTTAAACATTCTCATAAATGAGTGTAAATCAGTCACACACTACATCATCATCATCATCATCTGTGTGTGTGTTTCTGCTGTTTATATATTCAACTGTCCTGCTAAAATAGCATATTCGTATTCAGCCTGTTGATATTCAGACATCGTTAAACGTAGTTAAGGTAAATATGATGAAACAGTATTGAAGTGATTTTATAAATGATTGTATTAGTGAATGTTTAATGCTTTGACAGATGTTGTTTGTTTATATGTAAAACGCGAGATTTTTGTGTGTCTGTACTGTAGACGATGCACTTCTGCTTATAAAGTAGCTATGTGTGTTTATGACAAGAGAAAAGTGATAAATGGACATTTGTGCTGATTTTCCGTCCCCACCCTTTAACACCCCCCCCCCCCCCCACACACACACACACACACACACACACACACTCCGTCCTGCTGAGGTTTTCATTATTACTCCCTTTATGAAGCTGTTTTTGTCTTGGCAGCCCACAATGGTTGTGATTTCAGGTTTTACTATCATTGTGGTCACACACACACACACACACACACACGCAGACACGTAAACACACACTCTGCCCCTCTCTCTCTCTCTCACACACGCATACATACACTCACACACACACACACCTAAATACACTCACACACACAGACACATAAACACACACTCTATCTCTCTCTCTCTTACACACACACACCTAAATACACTCACACACGCAGACACAAACACACACTCTATCTCTCTCTCTCACACACACACATACACACCTAAATACACTCACACACGCAAACACGTAAACACACAGTCTGCCTCTCTCCCTCACTCTCTCACACACACACACACACGCAGACACATAAACACACACTCTATCCTTCTCTCTCTCACTCTCACACACGCACTCACATAAACACACACATACGCACACACATAAAGACACAGTCTTCCGCTCTCACACACACACACACACTCTCTCTCTCTCTCTCTCACACACACACTTAATCACTCATTCACTCAAAAATACACTTTCACTCAAACACACACACACACTCTCTCCGTCTCACACACACTCACTCACTCATTCAAAAACAGGGTCAGTCACACACACACACACACACACACACTGTGCCAGATGCATCTGAACGCACAAACACACTGTTTTCATTAGGGGCCTCTGCTTTGATCCGCCGCTGAACTCTTTGAGTCGCATTATATTGTCTTAAACCACATCAGTCTGTTTTCTTCTTTAAACTGAAGTATGAAACTAATCTGTGAATCAAGCTTGTTTAGTTTTGAGATATAATTATACTGTAACCCATAAATCAGGATCCTGTCAGATCGTCTGTGGTTTACTGTCAGATTGTGTTAGATGTGCAGGTTTAGCAGGACAGACGAGTTACACACACACACACACACACACACACACACCTGACAGGCGTGAGCAGCTCCGTGTCCATCCTCATGTCAGAAACTCTAACACTGTTTCATTTTCTGATTTAATTACTCAAACTGTGTTTGTTTTAGGGTGTCAATCATAGGCGATGTGTGAATGATGAGATCGTGACGTGATTGCATGTGTTGTGTTGTTAGACTGATATATAACAATCATGATCAATAACTGCATGCAATTTTGCTAATTTTCATTTTAATGTCCGCTCCATATTTTGCAGTCAGATGGATGACATTTCATGCTTTCAGATGTTTAAAAATTGCACATATAAGATGCATATTCATAGGCATTTTTTGCTTCTATGATTCAATAATCATGTTTTCTGGATGTCTTAGAATAACACATTTCAGTATTAATAATTAGCATGACAAATAGCCCACCATTCATTTTATTTAGCAATGCATCTATATTATATATATATATGAAAAACATATTTATTTATGATTCGATCGTTGTCAGTGTATGGTAATTCTTGCGTTATTGACTATGATTGCATGTGCACCAATAATGTTGTTAATGAGTTAATCGAGTTAATGCGATCTGCATTATTCTGACTGTTCTCTGAGAATTGTGATTATTTTAACTCCATTATACACAGACCGCACTGCACTAATGATGCTCACAGATTTCTCTCTATTTCGATGTCTTTGTCATTATATTAACAGTAGAGCGCGGGCGCTTGCAACGCCACGGTCACGGGTTCGATTCCCAGGGAAAGCAACAACGGATGAGAATGTAAATGCAATGAAAGTCGCTTTGGATAAAAGTAGGGCTGTGAAACGATTAATCGCATCCAAAATAAAAGTTTGTGTTTACATAATATATGTGTGTGTAATTATATAATAATGTGTGTATAATTATTTTGTATATATATATATATATATATATATATATATATAATATATTAGGGCTGTGAAACGATTAATCGCATCCAAAATAAAAGTTTGTGTTTACATAATATATGTGTGTGTAGTGTGTATAATTATTTTGTATATATAAATACACACACATGCATGTATATATTTAAGAAATATTTGCATGTATATACTTTATATATATTTATACAAAATTTATATATAAATATTTTATATGTTAATAACATATGAAGAGTTCAGATGCAAAAGCCTCTAAGTGCCATTTGAAATTTTCTTCTTTAATGATGATTTTTATCAAGCTTGTATATTTAAGTTCAGTAATTTCACTTAAATGGCAATGATAATTACCTATTAATTGTAATTTAAGTCAAATTACTGAACTTAAATATACAAGCTTGATAAAAATCATCATTAAAGAAGAAAATTTCAAATGGCATTTAGAGGCTTTTGCATCTGAACTCTTCATATGTTTCTTAAAAATATACATGGATATGTGTGTATTTATATAAAACAAAATAATTATACACAGCACACACACATATATTATGTAAACACAAACTTTTATTTTGGATGCGATTAATCGTTATTAGACAGCCCTAGATAAAGCATCTGCCAAATGCATGAATGTAAATGTTGTAAACGAAGATGAGCTCAGTTTCATCATCAGAGACGCACACACACACACACTTAGATTCGAGTGGAATAGATGCAATTAAAGTGTTTGCGTCCCTGTTTATCGTAACATGTTGCACTATGATTATGGTTGCTCCGATTATGAGCTTAATTGCATGAATCTGATCTAATTATTGTGTTTACAATATTACCTGAATCTGATTATAATTGCATTATGAGGGTTCAATGCAAACCTGGTGATGTGTAACAACGGCCGAATGTGTGTGTGCTGAACAAAAGTGCATGCGTATGATCAATGAAGGGAGGTTCGTGTTGCCAAAACATTCACAGCTTAAAGGGCCGGTTGATTATTTGTGATTTCACTTGTCTCGCTGTCGTTGGTGTGTAATGTTGTCTCAGTTTGAGGATAAACAACATCTGCAAAGTTACAACGCCCAAAGTTCAAAGCAAAGGGAGAGATTTACTTTTACGGAAATCACTTTTTAAGGACTACAACACATGGCTGGCAGAACTACACAAGCTTCTTCACGGGTTAGTGACATCACTAACTATTAAATTTACATAAACCCCGCCCCAATTTATAGATTATCATGACAGAATATGCTAATCAATGACTAGAAGAGAGTTAACGCATAAATTCATCAACTAAGCGTTCAGAAATGTCCAGTTGCTCTACATCTTCTTGAGTCGCTCCATCTTTGTCTGACTCCGGTTTGAATGTAAAACGCTAAATAAAAACGTTTTTGAACTTTTCAGTGTGTGTGTGTGTGTGTGTGTGTGTGTGTGTGTGTGTGAGAGAGGTAGGTTCGTTTTTGTTTTGGTGACCCACAATGGTGGTGATTTCATTATAGTCACAAACACACACAAGCTCTTGAAGCTCCGCCCCCCTGCACCCGGCCGAGCTGCAGCTCATTTGCATTTAAAGGCACACACACAAAAACAGCGTTTTTACTCAACCTCAAAAGGTGGTGATTTTAACATGATATAAAAAATATCTGCGGGTTATTTTGGGCTAAAACTTTTACACACACACTCTGGAGACACCAGAGACTTATTTTATTTTTCTATATTGTAAAAAGGGCATTTTAGGACCTCTTTAAATCAAGAGAAATAATGTGGGTTTAGTCCATGCTCAAAAGTCAAAGGTGGCCATTTAAGCCCCTTTTCCAAAGATGTACTAAACTGTAGAACTGGTTTTACTATTAGTTCTGGTTTCACTATTAGAACTGGTTTCACTGTTAGAACTGGTTTCACTATTAGAACTGGTTTCACTGTTAGAACTGGTTTCACTATTAGAACTGGTTTCACTGTTCGAACTGGTTTCACTGTTAGAACTGGTTTCACTGTTAGAACTGGTTTCACTGTTAGAACTGGTTTCACTATTAGAACTGGTTTCACTGTTAGAACTGGTTTCACTATTAGAACTGGTTTCACTATTAGAACTGGTTTCACTATTAGAACTGGTTTCACTGTTAGAATTGTTTTCACTATTAGAACTGGTTTCACTATTAGAACTGGTTTCACTATTAGAACTGTTTTCACTATTAGAACTGGTTTCACTGTTAGAACTGGTTTCACTATTAGTACTGGTTTCACTGTTAGAACTGGTTTCACTGTTAGAACTGTTTTCACTATTAGAACTGGTTTCACTGTTAGAACTGGTTTCACTATTAGAACTGGTTTCACTGTTACAACTGGTTTTTACTATTAGAACTGGTTTCACTGTGAGAACTGGTTTCACTATTAGAACTGGTTTCACTGTTAGAACTGGTTTCACTGTTAGAACTGTTTTCACTATTAGAACTGGTTTCACTGTTAGAACTGGTTTCACTATTAGAACTGGTTTCACTGTTACAACTGGTTTTTACTATTAGAACTGGTTTCACTGTGAGAACTGGTTTCACTATTAGAACTGGTTTCACTGTTAGAACTGGTTTCACTATTAGAACTGGTTTCACCGTTAAAACTGGTTTCACTGTTAGAACTGGGTTAACTGTGAGTGTAAACGTGCAGATTAAGGGACGAAAATATAATTTACTGGGTTTCACTTTCCACGTTTTCTAAAGCACACGGTTCTAGCTCTTCAAAAGCACTCCGGTTGTCTTGACCCGTCCTCTTTAAAGCTGTGCTGTAGTTTGAGTGTTCAGGTCATTGACGTCGTCTTCTTCTTCTTCTGTCTCTCAGGAGGCCGGTTTGTCGGGTGGCCTGAAGCTGGAGGCCATGATGGAGCATCTCCAGCGGCAGCAACAGGCGCGAGTGGAGAACGAGCACAAGGAGCGACGGCTTCGAGAAGCTCACATCATGTACGCGCAGCAGGTCGCGGCTCAACAGGCCATACTAGCCGCCGCTAGGGCTTCTGGAGCCGGTTTCATGAGCAGCGGACAGCTCTCTCAGCTCTCCCTCGGCTCCAATCAGAGCAGCGTCGAGGACGAGCGCGGGCGAGACTCGGATGACGAGGATGAGGATGATGAGATGATGGAGGGCGATGAAGGCAGCGAGGAAGACGAGCGCACGCCGAGTGGACTGGAGTTTCTCAGGAATCAGACGCTCGCGCTTCAACGGGGAGCCGTACGTTTACCCGGACGCCCGATCGCAAGCTTCCCGGACCCCAGAAGAGACCCGTCGCCCACCGTCAGGGTGAAGCAAGAACCCGAGGACGATCTCTCGCCCGTCGAGCGCCCTTCTGCCGCGTCGCCCAGCGCACACGCGGAGTGGAGCTACGACGAGCACTTTAAAGTGGTAAGAGGTTTTTCATTGAAAAATATTTCTTCATGCCTTAAAATATCTTGGATGTAACTCGACACCCTCGTCTCATTTAGTATGCGTGGTTCTATGAATATGCAAATGAACCCCGCCTCCACTCACTCACTCACTGGTTGACGATCACACGGTTTGTGACGTCAGAAACACCGGCGTGTTTTTGAGACCGTCTTTGGTTCACTGCAGTTTCAGCAATGCTGTCCACTTATCAACTTACACACGGTGTGTGTTAAAGCGGATTAAACACACCATATACACACATAAACTACATTAAACGCTGGATTTACACCACAGGGGGACTTTAAGTGAATTTAAGTTGCTTTTGGTTCCTCTTTGGAGTCAGACAAGATTAACAAGATTAATTTTCTTAATCCATTGACAGATATAATAAGTGTCTTGTTTAAAGCACAAACTCACTTTTGATTCAATTTCAGCAAAAAAAGACTTAAAGGGTTAGTTCACCCAAAAATGAAAATTCTGTCAGTATTTACTCGCCCTCATGTTGTTCCAACCCCGTAAGACCTTCGTTCATCTTCGCAACACAAATTAAGATATTTAAGATATTAAGATCGCTCCTGCATACTAGTCCATAGGCTTCTTGAGGGAATGACTCGAAAAGTCATTAAAGACATCGTTAAAATAGTCCAAGTGACTACAGCGGCTCAATCTTAACTTTATCAAACGACGAGAACACTTTTTGTGCGCAAAAACAACAAAAATAACGACTTTATTTCAACTATTCACTTCCTTCTCCATGGGCCTGTAGTCAGTTAGCGTAGTGTGATTGCGTAAAGCTACGTCGCACGTAGGCTCACTATTGGCCGACGCTGGTCATGTGATGCGTGTGACGTACAATAACAGAAGCTTACGCTATTAAACTAGTAACCTGACTCGCACAGAGGGAGAAATAAACCAATAGTTGAAATAAAGTCGTTATTTTTGTTGTTTTTTGCGCACAAAAAGTGTTCTCGTCGTTTGATAAAGTTAAGATTGAGCCGCTGTAGTCACTTGGACTATTTTAACGATGTCTTTAATGACTTTTCGAGGCCATTAAGAGTCATTCCCTCAAGAAGCCTATGGACTAGTATGCAGGAGCGATCTTAATATCTTAAATATCTTAATTTGTGTTGCGAAGATGAACGAAGGTCTTACAGGGTTGGAACAACATGAGGGCGAGTAAATACTGACAGAATTTTCATTTTTGGGTGAACTAACCCTTTAATATCTAACTCACTTTTGCTTCTCCACTAAATGTATCTTGATCTAAGAATGTTTGGATATTTGTGCTGGAAAATATTTGTGTTTTATTCAGTGCAGAACAAGTTCATAATATCCTCTAGTACAGAAATTGTTTGCCGAATGCTATTAATAATAGTATATTAAACAGAAGCTTTCTGCCACTTTGGTGGATTTTACATGGCAGTCGAGTTCAAGAAGTTTTTCATCATTATTATTCAATCATTATTCTCATTCATATTGGCAGTGTGTATGATTATATGTGTTTATGAAGTGTGATATCGCAGTGGTTCAGCAGTTAGTCATGGTTTCTCCCTCGTGTGTGTTTGTGTTTGGTTTCGTCACGGCGTGTGTGTGTGTGTGTGTGTGTGTGTGTGTGTGTCGCTGGCACAGAGCCGGACACTTCGCTGGACTTATTTGTTCTCGTGCGCTCCTGCCAAACCCTGAGTCGACTTTGGCCGGCGTCCAGACTGTGTAAAGAGACATTTGGCCCAATTTTGTCAGTTCACACGTGGGAGTGTTTGTGCACGTGTGCAGTGTGTGTGTGTGTGTTACGAAGTGCGCTATGATCTGCATGATCACAAGGGAATCTCCGTCATCCGGGGCTAAAATGTGTAAACCTGAACTTCTAATGTAATGCATTCTCATTTATGCATTTAATAGTACAGGCAACCCTAAATCTATTCAACATTTTTCATAGTTTATTACTATAGTTGGTAATGAAACATGACAAGAGTTATGAACTGGTTTTGTCCATCCTTCTGTTGGACTCTCACACACGAATCATGTTGAATATCTGTTAAATTTAAAGGAGTAGTTCACTTTTAAAAAAACTTTTGCTGATAATTTATTCACCCCCGTGTCATCCAAGATGTCCATGTCTTTCTTTCTTCAGTCGAAAAGAAATGAAGGTTTTTGATGAAAACATTCCAGGATTTTCTCCATATAATGGACTTCAATGGGGTCCAAACGGTTCAAGGTCCAAAAGACAGTTTCAGTGCAAACTGTTCAAAGGGCTTTAAACGACACCAGACGATGAATAAGGGTCTTATCTAGCAAAACGATCACTCATTTAATAAATAAATAACAAAGTTTAAGTTTTATAAGCTCAAATGCTCGCCTTGCTCTGTTCTGTGATGCGCGTTCGTGACTCTCCTGTTCGAACTCGTTCATCAAAATGAACATTTTTTAATGATCTTTTTTCGTGTCATTTGGTTCATTCAACGAACGGAATGAGTCGACTCTGAAAAAATTCGTTCATTTTGATGAACGAGTTCGAACAGGAGAGTCACGAACGCGCATCACAGAACCGAGCAAGGCGAGCATTTGAGCTTATAAAACTTAAACTTTGTTATTTATTTATTAAATGAGCGATCGTTTCACTTGATAAGACCCTTATTCATCGTCTGGTGTCGTTTAAAGCCCTTTGAACAGTTTGCACTGAAACTGTCTTTTTGGACCTTGAACCGTTTGGTCCCCATTGAAGTCCATTATATGGAGAAAATCCTGGAATGTTTTCATCAAAAACCTTCATTTCTTTTCGACTGAAGAAAGAAAGACATGGACATCTTGGATGACACGGGGGTGAGTAAATAAATAATCAGCAAAAGTTTTTTTTTCATGAAGTGAACTACTCCTTTAAATTTAACAGATATTCAACATGATTCATGTGTGAGAGTCCAACAGAAGGACGGACTTTAACTCCACAATTAGATAATACCAGTTTAGCTCAACCAGTGACCAAGCAATGCTTCATGTTGTTCAGTGTGTGTGTAAAAAGAGCAGAAAACACACTTCAGCTCAAAGTGGACGGAGGAGTCATTGTTACTGTAGTCACTGTATTAAGAATATTTGGGTGTAATATGTATGTCTCAGTTTACTTTATTTTGCTCTCCTCACTCATAAATGAACTATAGTGTCTAGTAGTTTTAGTTGTAAAACAATATCAGAGGTATTATATATTATCAGATCATATGTCTGAATCATTTTTCGGATCACAATAAGAGCAGAAACATGACTTGAATAGCCAGTAAATCGAGTCGGTTTTGATTTCAGATGGACTGAATATAAATCTGTTGACGTCTTGCTGTGAATCAGGCGATCTGTCAAGAGCTTGATGTGATTAAAGGCCTGGAGCTGCTTATTTATAGAGGCATCATCCTTTCTACTCTCCCAATATAGAACAGTGGCGTGCAAATGGACAATCCTCACAGCGGAGAGAGAGACTAGTGGATAAGTCCTGCTTATGATTCTGGAAGTCAATGTGTTTCAAGCTGATTTTGATTGAATTAAATGCATTAAGTGATTTCATTTATCTTGCCTTATATATCATATATTTAAGTGCATAGAAATGAAGAGCAAAATGCACACATTTAGTGTGTTATGCATTGTCATGCATCCACATAAATTACTCAATCATGTCGTTTCATAAACCAACTAAATGAGTAATATTTTAAAATATATTTTATTTTAAATATTTATATAATATTTTATTCTAAAACCAATTTGCAGTCATGATGATTCTTTAAATATATTCATATTATTGTGTACTCCTAACATACTGCTAAATGCATTAATGCCAAATGTAATCTTGCATCGCATTGAAATATGAAGAGTTCAGATGCAAAAGCCTCTAAATGCCATTTGAAATTTTCTTCTAAAATGACCATTTTTATCAAGCTTGTATATTTAAGTTCAGTAATTTCACTTAAATGACAATTAATAGGTAATCTTCATTGCCATTTAAGTGAAATTACTGAACTTAAACATACAAGCTTGATAAAATTTCAAAAAATTTCAAATGGCACTTAGAGGCTTTTGCATCTGAACTCTTCAAATATTGAAGCTTGTTATATTAGAATAAAACTTTTTAAAAGATAATTGCCATTTAAAAAAAAAATATCTCACAATTTGCTCTCACAATGAGTTATAAAGTCACAATTGCAATTATGAGGAAAGAGTCTGTATTTTTTTTCCCTTAGAATTGGACTTTACATCTTGCAATTGCGAGTTTATTATTTTATTTAGTAGTTTATTTTTTATTTTTTTATATATATTTTTAGTAGTTTATTTATTTCACAATTCTGAGAAAAGATGTCAGAATTGCGAGATATAAACTTGCAATTGCACGTTATAAATTCAGAATTGAGGGGAAGAAAGTTTCTCACAATTACGAGTTTACATCTTGCAATTCTGGCATTATATCTTACAACTCTGAGAAATAAAGTCAGAATTGCGAGGTATAAACGCACAATTGTGAGATAAAAAGATGCAATTATCTTTTAAAAAATGTTTTTATTCTGTTGCTAAATCAAGCTTCCATAGAAATAAGTTAAATCATGTTTGCAAATGCATTGCATGATGACATTAAGAGCATCTGCACACCAGTAACACATTCAAAGCACATGCGATCTCATAGACGCCTTCATTCGGATATAACGGCAACAGAGACGCAAGCCGTGTTTACATTACCCTTCAAAGTGCGCAAATTGTAATTGCGAATTGAAAATACGTACAATGGAAATACGTAAATTTCGCTAAAACTCCCATTTATCGCAAAAAAGTTGTTCCGCTAGCATGAGGAGGTTTTTCCAGGCAATTAGAAAAATAAATATTTCACAAAACTGCCGTTTTTACGCATTTACAGTCACATGATGTAGACGGCGAGGTGTATTTGGACAGAATACGAGACACTAATAAATTGATAAAAGACAAAAGAATTACAGGAATACTGGATTCTAAAC